AAATATTAAGAAAACCGCTTTTCTCTTCGAATACTGGACCAATTGCTTTGAAATTTTCAGTGGTTGAAGATAAAATTTTTCCCCAGACGGCTATTACTTTTGTTCATTTTAAATATTCCTGTTAGCTCTGTGAGATTTGTTTTTGTTTGCTATGACGTCTTTAAACGTTCTGCGGACATCGGACGCCATTTTGTGTCCTACTGTACTGCTTCGCTTGGTGTGAATATATTTGTAGACTGTGATCTGACGGTACGGTAAACCGTACTGCGAACAGACGTGTCCATATATTTGGGCGTAGCGGTTTTTTTAATATTTCCAGTAGGTGTGTTATTCTGTGTCAAATAACAACAAGAACAAGAACAAGAACAACATAATATTAAAACGATCGTTATGTCCACTACGTGTCCAATAAGATTTCAAATATTAAACATTGTAGGATTATGTTAATTTCAACTAACGAGTTTAGTCTGATATTACAGTCAGGCCATATTTACGAGAAATCTTTTCGTTGTTAAATTTTTGTTGGTACTAGTCAGTTTTAATCACAGCTCAGTGCGGGTGCGTTTACAGTCGACATTTCAAGTATTTTAGCCCTTAACATTTCACGAAAATGCCGTTTTTCATCAATAAATGGATATACATTCATCACTCATTTTCATTTTAGTTGTTGGATAACTGCAAAAGACCAAGATGGCAAACCATTCAAAGTTGAGATAAAATCGGAATACATGTACCATGTTAATATGAACAATGAACTCAGTCATGTGTCAAATGTTTTTGTATTTTAATCGTTGTATTTGATATATTTGAGTATGTTTTATATAACTTTTCTCGCAAATAACTCAGGATATCCATCACATCCATCTCTTTGGAATTGTGTACATTATTATGTTCGTAAATTGAGTCTGTCTGTTTTGTTTTTTTTTGTGAAAACTTTCTCTGTCTACTGTATAAATTCTGGGCTACAGTATAATACCTCATTCAAGAAATCCCTTAGCAGAGTAGGCTACACTACAAATAGCTGCTATCTTAAATGTAATAGACTGACGAACAGAAAATTGAACCAGAGAAGCTGGCAAACTGGAAAAAGATAATAGTCGCCTTGCTTTCAAATGATAGCTTTGTTATATTCAGAACAGAAGTAAAGTTTTAGATGTTTAGATTTAAAAAAGATATAAAATAAAAAAAAGTTTAGCATATATACAAGTTGCCAGTAACGTTTTATAACGTTGATATTAATATTAATATAACATTATTGTGTTTGGCCGTGTCAGGCTATCTGATAATAAAATAAGACAATCAAATAAGAAAATCGATAAATAATGTCAAATTAAAGCTTGGGAGTTGGGACACTCCTGAAGCGGGCCTTTTCTCTCGGCGATGGGGCTTAACGTAATAAGCGTTATGAATATCCTTGCCCTCGCCCGTCTGAATACCATGCGCTGGTTTGCAGGTTCGAAGCAAGTCCATGCTTCCGAAAACAAATAGCTATCTAATCCCATACTCGACATGGAATGGTAACCGGACGAGAGGCCGTAGTTCGCCATATGGTTAAGCCGTCTTATCGGCTATCTATCCCACCGAAAAAAAACTAACGCGAACTAAAACGAAAAAAAAATTGCTGACTTTAGATAAAACTCAATTTTGTGGTCGCTAGTGTCTACTTCACGCTTTTTAAAGCTTGAAAACTTGTACGCTTAGAGAACAAAAGCAATGTCAGCTCTTCTTTCACATCTCTGCCCGAACCTTCTTTAAAAAATACTAAAAAAACTGAAATCACTCATGTTGTTAGACTTGGTTCATGTTTCAGCAGATAAATAAACTACAGCTCATAGAATTGCAGTTACAGAGACAAACACCACATAACATAAAGTAAAAGACATCATATGCAGAGCAATTAAAAAAAACACTAGAACATTTACAATAAATACAATATCTAAAATATTCAGTCATTTATTAGTTATGTTGGTTAGTTATGGCGCATTAGTTAGGGCGCATTAGTGCGCCGCGGCGCCCCATTTGGGAATCTCTATGATAGGATATTCTGATTTTGTTCGTATAAAAAAAGCAAGAACTTGAATAAACCTATGTACATTCCGTTCGTTCACATTTTATTCTATTATCGAGGCCAAATTTCCGGAGTCGGAGCTCGCAGAAATTTCAGCCAGAATATTTTGACACATTGAATATACTTTCTACGCGCATATAATGTTCACTTATAGTTTCGTATAACAAACACAAGGGCTGATGAAAATATAATTATATTATGGAAATACAAGACCAAGCTTTAAATACAATAATTTAGATGATAAAATAGTGTTCGAAAAACGGAAACCAAGCGAAAAATGCATTTCCAAAATACAAAGTTTCTAATATTAGTACAAGTTTTAAACAATATTTATCAAAATCCCCCAATAAAGGCAGCATCAAGATACATTTGGAGAAAAGAAGAACTATTATAGATGCAATTTCATCATCGCAAAACAGAAGCAGCACGTTTTAACTTGACCATATATAATACGGAACATGGCATGTATTCTTCAATTTCATGAACAATGTAGATGTGACCTATTTTAAAGTGATTTAGTTTTTCAACTGAATTTACCTAATAATGGAACAAATATGTTTCTTACTTTTTCATACATCGATGATGTACGTCTATCAAACTTGGAATAAGTTTCGGGAGAGTATAAAATAACAGAAAACATTTTACGCCCTCTCGTAGATTGTTTTCAAAATTTTGAATATTTATCGTTTTTGTAAAGACTATTTCTCGAAAACAGCCAATAGAGGCAGCATCACAATTTATTCGGGGACAAGAAGAACTATTATAGATGCAATTTCATCATCGCAAAACAGAAGCAGCACGTTTTAACTTGACCATATATAATACGGAACATGGCGTGTATTCTTCAATTTCATGAACAATGTTAATGTGACCTATTTTAAAGTGATTTCGTTTTTCAACTGAATTTACCTAATAATGGAACAAATATGTTTCTTACTTTTTCATACATCGATGATGTACGTCTATCAAACTTGGAATAAGTTTCGGGAGAGTATAAAATAACAGAAAACATTTTAGGCCCTCTCGTAGATTGTTTTCAAAATTTTGAATATTTATCGTTTTTGTAAAGACTATTTCTCGAAAACCGCCAATAGAGGCAGCATCACAATTTATTCGGGGACAAGAAGAACCCTTACAGATTTGCGATTTTGTTATGGCAGAACAGTAGGAGTACGATTTGACTCGGCCATATATGATACCAAACATAGCGTATATTTCTCAATTTTATGAACAATGCAGACGTAACATATTCAAAAAGGTTTTGTATTTCAACTAAATTTACCTAATAAGGGAAATAGTATCTTTCTTACCGTGTAATACATTGATACTGTACGTTTATTAACCTTGGAATAAGTTGCGGAAAGTATAAAATAACAAAAAAAAACATTTTAAGTCATGTCGTGGACTCTTTTCAAAATTCGAAAATTTATCGTTTATGGAGTCGCGATTTCTCGAAAACCGCCAACAAAGGCAGCATCAGTTCTGCACTGTTCTGCTATAATGAAATCTAATCCGTGAGTGACCTTTTTTTGCTCCGAATGTATCGTGATGCTGCCTTTATTGGCGGTTTCCGAGAAATCGCCCCTTTAAAAACGATAATTTCTCGAAATTTTAACATAAATCCACGAGAGTGTGTAAAATGATTTTTGTTATTGTATACTCTCCGCAACTTATTCATTCTAAGTTTAATAGACTTACAGTATTGGTGTGTGACAAAGAGAAAAAGATAATTGTTCAAATATTCATGCATTCAAATGCTGCCTTTATTGGCGGTTTTCGAGAAATCGCCCCTTTAAAAACGATAATTTTTGGTAATTTTAACATAAATCCACGAGAGTGTGTGAAATGATTTTTGTTATTGTATACTCTCCGCAACTTATTCATTCTAAGTTTAATAGACTTACAGTATTGGTGTGTGACAAAGAGAAAAAGATAATTGTTCAAATATTCAGTAAATTTAGTTGAAATACCTGTTCTTTCATGTTGAAATCGAATCTGTAATTATTATTCTTTTTACCGAATGTGTCGTGATGCTGTCTTTATTGGTGGTTTTTGAGAAATCGCCACCACATAAACGATAATTTTTCGAATATTGAAAAGCGTCCACGAGAGGGCGTAAAATGTTTTTTTTTGGTATTTTATACTTTCCTCAACTTATTCCAAAGTTAATAAACGTACAGTATTGATGTATGGCAAGGTAAAAGATATTATTTCCATTGTTAGGTAAATTTAATTGAAATACAAAACGGTTTTTAAATGTGTTATCTCAACATTTTTCATAAAATTGAAGAACATACGCTATGTTTGGTATGATATATGGCCGAGTCAAAACGTGCTGCTACCGTTCGGTCATAATAAAATAAAATCTGTAAGTGTTCTTCTTTTCTCCGAATGTACCTGCCTTTATTGGCGGTTTTCGAGAAATTGCCCATTCAAAAATCAATAATTTTTCTATATTTTGAAAGAAATTCACGAGAGGGCGTAAATTGATTTAATAAATTGTATACTCTCTGCAACTTTTTCCAAGTTCAATTGACGTACAGTATTGATGTATGACAAAGAGAAATAAATATTCTGTAAATTCGTTGAAGTACAAAACCCTTTTTAAATAAATATGTAACGTCTGCATTGTTCATAAAATTGAAAAATACGCTATGTTTTGTAATATATATAGCCAAGTCAAAACATGCTGCTACTGTTCTATAAGGTTTCTGCTTTTTTCCCGTCGTGTTGTGATGCTGCCTTTGTTGGATGTTTCTGGGAAATGACCGTCTTAAAACGACGAAAATTCAATCATTTTGATGAAGCATGGAATTACTTTTACAGTCGTTTTAGCTTGTTCACTATATATTAACAAGATGAGTCATGTAGTTACTGATTGTTTTACTCTATTTGCTATTGTACAAAATAATCAAAATATACACTTTCTTCCAAAAACGACTTGAAACATTAGTTTTTACGCATGGGGATTTTCTACGATTCTGTCAGCTCCAATTTCGTATTTTGCTGCTAGCTTCGCAGCCACAAAGGTGGCTTTGTGGGTTCTGTAGCGCCAGCAGTGCCGGCACCGTGTTTCTGTATTCTGCCTGTAATCATCATATACATACCGGATTACCGGTATCTTTGTATCTTAGCATCGTACCCAAGTACAGTGGTCAGTGGTACTGGTACCTACTGCACGACTGAAGTATGGGAAACAATATTTCATCATGTTGTGGTGCTGCGGATGGATTCCGATGCTGTTGTCTAGGACGGGGTGGAAGAAGCATGAAAAGCGGGAAAATGGTCCCGGCCGATCTTCATTCCTCTGGTGCGCAAACAAGCTCAAAAGGGCAAAAGAAACCAGTTGGTATGTAGACGTACGGTACCGTACGTTGCTTAGGCCTATACCTGTATACCGGTACACATCGGAAAATTTTTAATGACATTCAAAGAATTCTTACACTCTGACAGCTGGACAGTATTGGTGTCTGAAAACAATCATCAAACTATTTCATCGATGTGAAAAACAACCAAAATACAGAAATAAAACATTTTACATGAGTACCTCAGGCTAAATGTATTATTATTCCATCTAATTCTGAAATTTGGAAGTGTAAACAAACAACTCTTCCTGTCTTCACAACTTGGTGTTTTGTTTAGATGTCAAACACGGGTGTTTATCAACTAGAGATCTTTCTATTTACCCTGATTTGTTAATTCATCAAAGACTGCAGGGCTCATTCAAATATAATATGATTAAATGAAAATGTTCAAAATATTGAACAGCCCTAATTGACATAGTAATTATCTTGGGTCTTAAGACACATAAACATCTAGTTCGATTTGTTTTTTCTTTTTGCAACCATCAATATTATCTCTTGTTTTCTTTTCCAGTGCAATCTCGGCCTACAACACTGCCTACGCAGAGTACGAGTGCTGGTGCGTCTACATCATCAGGTCAAGCAAGGCAAGAAGGAAATAAGTATGTGTAAAAATAATAACTGTGTGAAATAATCACTGTGATCACCAAAAGAATTTGTTATCCGAACTATTATATGTTTATGTATGATTGTACCCAAAAGTTTCAGTAATCAAGGATACTTTGCACAAAAGTTATGTTATCTAAAGAATATGTTCCAACTGACAGGGTTCTGTTTTTTTCTTTCACCCTCCATATTCTTCCAACATTCTGACATTTCATAACAATTTTATCCATTGAATGAATCGAAATTTTTCCATAATTTTCTTCATAGTGTCTCACATGTTCAATCAAGGTTTTTTGTACACAGTTTACCGCAGAATTTTGGATGTATCTGAAACGTTTTATGAAATTTGCTACATTTCAAAGCTCATTATTTTTGATTTTCCCATTTAAAATTTATGTCTTAATTGATCATTTTGTTTTTGAGTTATTTTTAAACCAAATATGTTTTTGGAGCACCAATGACATACTTCTCATCTAATACTTTTCTTTGTTTTAACTATTAATTTTAATATTACTCCGTTTATTCACCATTAGCATAATATCATGAAATGTCATTAGGGCTATATTTAAGTGTGGTTAGAAAAGATACAAGCTTCCATTATAGTAGGCTAACTCATTTGAAAGTTACTTTAGAATTAACATATTTGCTTCTTTATGTATAGACAAAATAAATTTTCAGTATACTAATATCATAAAACTTATTCAACATGTAGATTCTCCGAGTTTTCACTTCACGGCGTTCAGAAAACTTCACCTGTGGAACAAGCAGATGATAGTATGGATGGATTACAGAGCAGCGTTCAGCATAAATTTCTGATGGAAAACGTCTCTTCTCTTTTTAACGAATATAAAGAGATTGATTGTGATGAAATTTTAGCGGAAGGAATCTCAAAGTTCTGTAACGATTTAGAAGTTGATCCAGCAGAGTTCATCGTTTTGGCATTGGCTTGGAAATTTAAAGCTGAAACAATGTGCAGATTCTCAAGGTAAGGAAGTCTAATTATTTATTTAATAAACTGAAAGGAGGCAATGCACATTTGCTTTATTAAAAATACTATGATTTTTAACAATCTATTTTGGTGCATTAGAAGGATGTTCATAATTGATTTTTTCAGTGTTCTTTAGCTAATCAATGCAAATGAATCATGCGATACAAACCCCTTACGATGATATGATTCATCTATCTATTATTGATTAATCGTAGTTCATGGGGATTTCCTGCTATCGTATTTCATAACAAAGTGAAGTAAATTAATACAGACACAATGACCGACTTTATTAATAGTTGCCATTAATTCAAATGCTGACTGAATTATTTATGATAACTCCCATTTTTTTTAATAATAATATATTTCTATTTACGTTCATGTGTAATTCATGATTGACAGGGTGATGATTTTATCAACTTTGTGCATAGTCTTCATTACTGGTATCATGATATTCTACTTGTTTCTGTTCTCATATTAAGTCCCATATTGCAGGTCCCATAACAGGTCTGAGCAGGATTTTTCAAATTTATTGATTGACACATATGTCAGCTTACCACTTGTAAGAAGTATGTAATAATGTGGAATGATTTAATATATTTGCTTTGGGCAGATAAAACTCATCTTGAAAATGAAAATTTGAAAATCATTGAAGTTTACTTGTGTTTGAGGTAAAAAACCTAAAAATTGTTTATCTTTATGGAGACAATTATGAAGAAAGGGTGTAATATAAAAAAAAAAATTTGTGTTTGATTAATATGGTTGAAACTATATTTCAATCGACTCAGCAAAATTGCAGACCACGAGCGACAGAACAAATCAATTATAGAACACTTAATAAAATTCTGCCTGTGTGAGTATTGTCAACTGACGATATGTTTCTAAACCCCGTCCAAACATAATGTGTGCCAGAGGCACACGAAATTTTGCAATTTTCACTGCCTAGAAAAGCGTTTTTTGAATTTTCGGGGTCTCAATAAAACTTATATTGTTTACGGTTTTATTTTCAGTATTTTGAATTTCCGCTTTTCAATCAAAAAGTTGCGTTGTCTTTAGAAACTCGCTGCCGATGAACGTATTTACCAGATTCACAATTCCGTGCGCGTACAAAAATAAAATAATTGTCATTGTCACAAATTTGTGGAAAATTTTCGTTTTAGAGAAAATAACACAAACGTAAAGGCGTTTACGGCCTAAATAACACTTTACGCTGATGAGTGATGAAACAATCACGCGCAAGTTTCTATCGAGAATGTTTTCATTCAACGGAAACGTCTTGAAAGCGGCGTCGAAAATGTGTGACATCACACAAATATCCGATATTCTCATGAACGCTAATTCCGATATTCGAATTGGCCATCCCTGATTGTCATATCTGAAGCGTCCCCAAGAATTTACAAAATAATGTTCCTTGAACCACTATCAATTGGAATTTTAATGTAAAAAAAATTCTATAGATTTCCCTGATTAAATTCATATTGTACAGAAGATTATTTGTTGAATTACCTGAGTTTGGGTTATTTGAAGCTACATAATTAGCTATATAAAACAAACGGTAACGGTAAGTATAATATTAAATATAAAGTTGTGTGTGTTAAACTCTGAATTTTTGATTTTTTTGTGATAGCCTTCTATATGTAAATATCTACTACTCATTGTCAAACTGGCTCTTTTGATGTTTTCACACTTTTTTAGTATTTCTTTCAGCCAAGTCTATTATTTTTCAGAGATGAATTTACCCAGGGTTGTATTGCTCTGCAAGCTGATTCAATTGAATCAATCAAACAATCATTCCCTGATCTTGAAAATGAAGCAAGAATAAATTTTAAAGATATTTATAAATTTGCTTTTCAATTTGGTCTGGACTCAGATCAGGTGAGTTGACCTCTTTATTAGCTTTTGTAAACTTTTGTAGCTTTTGCAAAAATTGTTTGGCATTGAAAATAGCAATAGGATTTGCAGGGTTTGAAAGTACTATTTGGCTTCTATACCATTGAAAGCATGCCAATGTTAGATTCAAGACCCTTGTTTCATCAGACTCCGCAGTTTTGGTTTTTATTTTCTTTCCATTTAGGGTCAAAGATCTCTACCTTCTGATGTAGCAATAGGAATGTGGCAAGTTGTTTTTTCAAAGGATCCACCTCAGTTACTGGACGAATGGATTAAATTTCTTGAAGAAAGCAAGGTCTGGAGAGTAAAATTGTACACAAATGGCAAATTAGATAGGAATTTTCGTCTTTATTAGTAGAGGTAGAGGGAGCATCAAATTGGCAATCAACATTTTTCATATCTAGTATCTACCTGTTCCATTTATTTAAATTATCCAAATTTCCCCTTTTTCTTCTGAAAATTTCCGTTTTTATAGTGAAATTATGATTATACTATATATTAAAATTTTAGTCAAAAATAGATCATTTTAAACTAAAAAGCAAGTTTCCAGATTGAAGTCTAATTATGAATACTAAAGTATTATGGTATGAGCATGTTTGGTCAAGATGATTCTATCTATATGCTTAATAATACATTCAGATTCGTGGAATATCTCGTGACACATGGAATATGTTTCTTCATTTTACTGAAAATGTTGGTTCTGATCTTAGTAATTACGATGATAATGAAGCTTGGCCAAGCCTGTTCGATGATTTTGTAGAATATTACAGGCAAGTGAAAGTTGAACAAGCTTGAAATTTGGGGAAAATGACCTTATATAATTTTATTTGTGTTGGTTTCAAAAAAGCTACATACAAATTACGCACTCCAGAAGTATGTGTCTATTTTACATCGAGTTGTGTAAAAGGACTGAAACCTATGAGCAGGGGGTATATTCACTGGGCTAACACAGATAGTCACCGACTAAAATAAGATAAATCGAAATAATATTATGGCCTAAGCCTAACCTGGTACACATATTACGGAAGTACCCAACTTACACCCTAATTAGTACTTGTCAATGTTCGGCCATGCCCCCACAAGTCATCAAAATTGAGTCAATTACTAACTTAATTTCTCTCTAGCAGTTAGTTGATGATGAAGTCTGAGTCATTCCATTTAAATAGCCTGAGTCTTTGATAAATGTTGCCTCAAGTCGAGGCCATGACTCAAGCCTCTCCAAAACTGGTATTTGCATTTCTATGCATTCAATATTTTCGCTTTTCATTTCTTCTTATTCGTCATAAACATTTACTTATGATAATATATTCACATAGAATGTCAATAGCAGTCAAAGAAACTACAGATAAATTTGAAAGTAACGAATCGCAAAAGGAAGAAGACATCGATGAAAATTTACATACAGTTAACAATGAGGTATAGTATTTTACAATATATTATTACAATAACTGGATCTCTTTATCATTCGTAACAAAATCTCCTGAGTGCATATTCCACCTATACAGAGTCAATGGTACGCTTTGCCTATACATGTGGTATTGCTCCCACATTTAGCCCTCACTGAATTTAATGAAAGATAAAATATTGGATGCCGCAAAATAGCTTCTGGATTACTATTTCCGACATACATAGCTTAGGAATTCTATTTTAGAGACCGTATTTTTGTTGTTGTAATTATAATATTTTGGCTAATGGAAAAAATTTCATGTAAGTTTTATCTGTTTTCTTTTTTACCTTTATTGAATTTTATACCTCCTAAGTTGTTCCTGATTATTTGACCTAATTGCTTAAAGCTTGTCATTCAATATTTGATAGTAAGCAGCTTCGGCCATTTCAGCTGTCTCTATTAGGGTTTATCCTTCCCATGATGCTGAGAGAGTATTTCTAAAATTATGTAAATTAAAATGTGTGCCAGTTATAATGTTAATAAGCGTGCTCAAGATAGTGTTAGGAGATTGATTCAATTTTTATCGGTCATAGGTGTGTTTGATCACAATTTCCAATGTATCTTTTTTACTGTTAAATGAGTTAAACATAATACAATTGTTTTACATGTAAGATTGCCAAAAATGAAGCAGTAACACACAGCAGCACTGAACCAAATTTACCAGGATCTATTCCAGTTCAACATGAAGAACAGGAGGTCAAAGTTCCTGATGACAAACCAGAAGATATTCAGGAAAACATCCAAAAAACAATCAATCATGACGAAAATAACGATACAACAGCTATTTTTAGGGAAAATGTAGTTGTCGAAACACCGGCAACTGAATTTTTGGATTCAAAACAGTTAGAACCTGCGTCGTTAAACTTAGAAAAGCCTGATATATCATCAAAAAATGGTGATTCACATTCAACAGCAACACAAAAGCAAAACTACTCTTCTGATTTTGAGGGTGAAAAAGAAAACTCAAAATTATCACTCACTGATTTTCCTTCCACATCGGAAGAACCCAGTTCTGAGTTTGATTCTGAACCGATTCGATGCGAGACTTTGCACTCATCGCATCTATCTTAGCCAATTATCGAATATTTTTCATCCACTCACAGCCTTTGCGTATTTACAACATAATAACGCAGTCAAGTTTTTTTGGTCATTCTCAACTTGCCATGTTAATTCATAATCGTTTTTTTATACATTGTTCAACCACCATGCTTGGGATATACCCTATTCCTGTGTTTATTTTACCCAGAACTGTGATTATTAAAGATTTGTCTCGATTACAACAGCCACAGGATTCTATATGTGAGATAGTTTGCATGCTTCGTATCATGACGTTTTAATTTTATAATTCATGGGCGTGATGTGGTGGTTATTTAATGTATTAGCTCGAAATAGACCAACATATTATCATAATTAACTTATACCGGGAAACAGTACCAGCGATACAGTACTTTGAAGATTGCAGACTTCTTTACTTCCTACATTGGCACCAAACTAAAATTGGTCTGTTTTATATGAAGTAGTGCTGAAATAATTTATGTGCAAGAGCTCCACTGCACTACAAAATTAACCGAAACTAAATCGATAGATGGTGCTTTGATTACTTGGATGCCTCCTCATCGTAATTATTGATGAACAGTTGCCAAATAGGCGTCGACTGGAAGAAGGATGTCTCTTTCTAGTAGCATGAACCCCTTCTTTGTCAGAAAATCTTTTCCATTAATTACAGACTCTTTATCCACTGCTTGGATTATATAGCAATGAAGTCTCTATTGTCATCCATATAAGGTACTGTACTGTTGTTTAATTGATTTTCCTATTCGTTCGACTGTTTTGTGAGAGATATCATGTCGGACTTCTCTTAATGAGCTGTTATACGAGATTTAAATTTGAACCATGGTGAATATGATATGGTATTTTGGCTGGTATGAATATGTTTTGTAATTTTTTACCATGGTTTTTGTTAAAAACTATTTCCAAGTTTATAAGAGGATGTTCATATGTGAAGGCTCATTCAGATCGAATTACCAATATGTATGCTTGATAATAAGCATATCTTTGTTGCCTGGTAGTTTGGCACATTCAAAGTTGGATTGAGTTCTCATTATATTTGAAAACAAATTTGCCTTCGCATAAATTTGACATGAATCACGATTTTGTCACAAATTCAGTTGAGAAATTGTGTTATTTGCATTTATCTATCTTTCAAAAAAAATATCTGACAATATGTCATTTTTTGAAGCATAGCAGTAGCAAATGCGAAATATTCTTTATCTTCAACTGAATTACTTGGGTATAATCTTTTTTTCTTTATTTGTAATCATGAAGCTGTTGTCAAGCATTGATCATGCATGTAATGAATTTAAAATATTGTTATCTTTAAGTTGTAGACGTATGGTATGTTTCGCATTATTCTTGATCGGTTTCTATGTTACTATTTTCCTACTGTTAGAGGAAGCGTTTTTGTATTATGTACCCTTCAGTATTTTTTCTTATGATTGTAATACAGGTTTGTGCCATATCAATATATAAACTTGTAATAGCCCGTTTTGGAAGATATATTTCTTTAATTCGGGGAAGCAATCGTATCACTGCTGGCTGTGAGGTATGTTGTTAGGTAAAATGTTTTAGATTTGGGTTTGGTAATGATTTTGGATGCCTCGTCAAAATCGAGTAAGAGTAATTTATGGTTTACAACTACAAAGCAGAATTGGAAAGCAACGAGTATTTCAACCAAAATTGTAGAATTATTGGCGGAAAAATCGGTTTTTGTTGCTAGTTTTGCTGTGTCAGTTGTCAGAAGATTTCGGATGAGTTATAAAAATTTAACGGAATGAATGTGTGGACACACTAGTTACTTATTCATTTCAATCGGTAAGTATGTTGATAGGTATTTGTCTGTATGTTAGATGCACGCGATATCTCACGAAAGCGAGATTGAATCTGCTCCAGATTTTGCATGTCCGTTTATCATATCTCGGACCAGAAGCCTATTGATTTTGGGCGAATTATGTCGTATAATTATCGAGTTATTAATTAATTAGTGATGGGACACAAGGTGTCACTATGGAGTAAGAGCGCTGTTTTGGGGGATCCCCTAACTTTCGATCGATAAGTCTTCGGTCTCTGCCCGATATTCTCGTTGTTTTGTTATTATGTTGCTATTGATAACCTTGATGGAGTATATCTTGTCTTGTTGTTATGAAAATATCGCACCTCTCGTTTATCACTGGACCAATTGCTTTGAAAATTTTAGTGGTTGAAGATTGTTGTCACTGGTGGGCTATCACTTTTATTTGTTCCTAAATTTCCGATGACACCTGTAGCTCCGCTTATTCATGGGAATACGTTTTTATAACAGCGTAATGTCTATCTCTTGATTTTGCAAAATCTAAAGAATGAGGATATTTATTCTAAGCTAAAGCATCCTGGTTTGTTGTTCGTTTTGCTGTAGCAATTGTCTAAGGTTTGAGATGAGTTGTGGAAAGTGGAGGCAAATAACGCTAATATTCTCTGTGTCCTTTAGTCTCGTGGTTTCCAGTTCTCTTTTAAAACGATCACATTGAATCAGTCAAACTATAGCTCGGCCTTTGGGATCCACAAACGGCCGCACACGTTCGATGAAATGCCCCATGTCAAATATTCGAATGCGAAGCACTCAGTACTACCAAATGGAGAGCGTGGTTTGTTTTATTAATCACCGACCCATAACAATTAACATACCTCAAACAACGAGGAATATTGATCAATCGCACATATCGGAGTTTATATTGATATAGAATTGTTAAAAGCTGAAATTTATGGCACCTTTAGGCCAGTCGAATTTAGAATCACAAGGAATCGAAGTTGGCCCGCTGGCCCTACTTCTGCCCAAGCGGGATCGTACAATGACTACAGTGTTCTGTAGTTGGACATAAAAAATATACCTTGCCAAAAAGTTACAACGTTCAACAAGTAGAGTTTCTATTGTTCTAGGTAAATGTATCTGTAAAGTGTGCATACTTGGATTCCAGGAAAAATAACTGTTCACTTTGTTTACACTAGAGTTGAATAGTATATCTCTGTAGCACCACTTCTCAACAAAATATGGCTCAATGTTCAATCGAGCTCATCCCTGATATAACCGATTGGTTTCCTATTTTTTTTTTTCAATACCTTGCCTCAGGGTGATTCATGATTTGAACCAATCGCAATCAAGAGAAACCAAACCGAATTTTCTTTTCCCTGAAACAAAAAAGAAAATAATATTAGCTGCACTTTCAAAAATACGTTAAAAATGTGTTCGCAAATTATAACTATAGCAACTCTCCCTGCCTAATCTGTCATTCAATTTGTAAAATTCACACCGTGATATCACAACTAGCTCGCTCCAAAATAACAAACAGTATCGTTTAAACCTTTTATTCAAAACTGCGCCGGATCACAGTAGTTCAGGTATTATCTGGCAACACAAATGCCAATATCTTCGAAAATAAATGAAGTTCGTGGATTTTATAGAAAAGAAAATAATGATGGGATGTGAACAATTGTTGCCATAAGTTTTTATTCTGTCTTTTGGGATTGGAGTTTAATGTAGAATATTGAACAGCAGGATTTCACGAAGAATGTTAGATTTGCAAAAGCAAGGGTTTTTTCAAATATATACATAAAATACACCAGATCACGACAACGTATCGTCTACTTATTACAAAGAAACACTCTTAATATGGCCATTACTATTGGAGTTATTTTACTCCAAAATGCAAATAAGCTTATATGCTTTGCAAATATCTTGTGGAATGCCGAATTTTAGTAAGACGTTACACGTCATGTTTTTATCTTTCAGCCAAATTCATGCGAACAAATATAAGGTGTGACTGTATGTTCGTGTTTGAAGTTTTTGCATGTACTTTGCGCATGTTCTATGTGTGCCCCTATGCTATATACGCTGAACGCTGGAATATATTGTTTCAGTACAGCTCAAATCTAAAGAAATATTACTTATCATTACCAATGTTCGTATAAAAATGTTGAAACCCGTCTTTATGTCTAAAGAGAACTTTGGACGTAACGTGCCAAGCAGGTTTCTACCCTTCAGGCTACGAGTTTTCGTTATCGCCGATATCTCATGTCAAGACCTCAAAAACTAAAACCCGTTTTTCTACCAAAACGACTTTTTTTGTCTTTAAAATGATGCGATACTAAGAAAAAGACTCTGAACGTGATGGATTTTTTGAAATTTGTATAGATAATTAGTTTAGTTAGTTCTTCGCTACCTGTAGTAGATCATGTAGCGTTTTGTTGGCAGATGCTTTGTTTTGTGCAGCTGGAAGCAATAACAAGAATAAGACTCTTTGCTGAACCTTGTTAACCTGAAATATTTATACATGGGTTACTTATGGGAAGATACTTATATACAGTGGTGGGATTCAGCCGGTTCGCACCGGTTCTATAGAACCGTCTCAGGGATATTTTATGAGATCAGCGAACCGGTTAGCATTTCTAGAAAAACATGTAACAGAACCGGCCGAAAAATATGACTTTTGCGATGGAACCGGCTGACAAAAAAATTGAATCCCACCACTGCTTATATATACATGTCAGGCCGAAAACTTCAAGGGACGAGTAGGCAAACTAGATAAATAAGCGCTCTGATTACTGAAAATGATCAAAAAAAGTGTTTGGAGAATTTTTAGGAGCAAAGCAAAAGTTATTTGGTGGTGTATTTCAAACTTAAAATGATGATCAATTGGTATTGGTCTTTCGATCGATTCCGTATTTAACGAGCGCAAGAGCCACGCTTTGGATAGAATTTCGTATTGTGTGCGTTATTGCGAAAAGAAGGTTTCCAGGTGGAAAGGACATTCTCAAATATCTCTTTAGGGAGTTAGAAAAATGATTCAACAAAATGAGCAACGCTTTCACTTTCAGAAAACAGCTTTTCGTCGAATCATAGATTTTTGTGGATGCGGTTTCTGTAACTTTATGTTTTCCGAAGTATCATGACCGCAGACTTTAATTATACATCATCGGCGTTCTTGGTAGTTATTACAAAAATGATTTATTTCCTGCCTAACATTGATTTTCGTTTCTTTAAAAATCTTCTAAATAATAGCTATAGGAAATCATTATAATTGACAGTAAGCGCTTAAAATCGTTCAAAAATATTTCCACCCCTCTTGTAACTATATTAAAAATCTATAATTTTTTTAAATGTAAGTTGTTGATAATAATTTGATATACATTATAGCTAAAAACTAGCGAAGTCCCAAGACTTTTTCATTTTATGTTATTTATTTCGTATAGGTCACTGTACAATTGCGTCTCATGTGCGTCAGTAGAAATGTGTTTTCGACGTATATAAGTCGTGCATCTCACTATAACAATATTTGCCAATTGATCCCATGAGTAAGAATAACTTGCGGTTGATGGCGTTTCGCCCATAGGCAGAATTCATATATAGGAGAAATAACAAATGTCTGGTTCTATCAAATTTGCCAAGCACTAGTTGGCACGTAGGGTAACGTTCAGGATTGAACAAACCAGTACACAACTTCAGTATAAATGAAAGAGAACTTTTATATCTCCATATATAGATATACAGTATATATATATACTCTATTGGTGGCCATAAACGCTTGCATCATAGCATTCAATAGCCCCTTTAATAGTTACGATTCCTAAAAAAAAGTGGCTGTAATATTCTCCATTTCTTTATTTTTACATTGAATTTGCAGGTATTTACAATAAATACCTCCATCATGAGCAGACCTATTCTTTTGATAGCAGTAATTTCACTAAGTTTGATAGCTGGGACATATGGTAAGTAGAACAATTTTTTTCTATTTTGCGCCCCAGTAATTTGTATTTCCTAACGACGTTAAATTTAATTTAAATATCTGTGTTCGGGTCGCAATTCTATAATCCGACATGTATGTGCAAATGTATAGGAATGTTTGTACGAAATATTTCAAAAAATAAAAATGTCACAACAACAATAAAGTGATATCGTGCAATGTCCTTACGCACTTTATGAGAAATCGTTTAGATCGAGTACCCATTGATTGAAAATTTTGGGTTGAAGTTTTGCGATGTTTTAACAGTTATTTATCCGTATTTGATTATTTCTAAGCAACAGACTTTCACAAAAGCTAATTCATTGTGACCTTGGGCTACAAATACTTGTGCAATATCCGATTAACTGCTATGCGTTTACCGTCAAATACGCAATAAAGACTTGTTCAGCAACTCTAGCTGACAATTTTATGCTCATTACGATAGTTGCGTTTGCTTGTAAACTACTTCTCTTTGTACGTAAAACGAAAAATAGGAAAATTTTGAACATTTTTAAAGAGAAATTTGGTAAGATTATAAGTCATTCAATTTTGTTCGTGAAACAAAAATAGAAAAAGTTTAAACTTTATCAAAAAGAAATTCGGTAAGATTTACACGGCAATTGAGTAACTTGAAACGAAACAAAGAGTGGTGGTAAATATGCTTTGTGTGAAAATAAATAAAACTGCTGTAAAAATCCATTTCAATCGATTTGATTTTCATTTCTTTAAAAATTTGAGTTTATAAAGAAGAAGGTAAATCAAAGTTTCATATAATAGTGTCCATTAAAAATTCATCAATATTCATTTTTTCAAAGAAAATACTGGAAAAAAGTGCAAATATGAGATATCCGATACCGCACATGGTAACAACTGAAGTTGAAAATATAAAAAATCCTATTTTTGCAAAAGAAAATAGATGGATCGATTCTTACATTACAATACGCGTAAAATATTACCTCCCAAATGACGTTAGTTGAAGGATTGAATTGCACATTTCAGCCTCAAGCTATATCATCGCTCTATATTCACAATAGCGCATCAGTTTTGCTTAAAGGAACTAGAATAAGAGTTTAGCAACGATAAATGTTCCGTATACCGACTGATTTAGCTGTGCGCAACGCGTTTAGCCAATAGGCGAAGAGCACGCTCTTGTAACACGAAAAAAATTATGCGGTGTGTTTAACGAGCGAGATGAAATTGAATTTTATCCAAATATTTAGGTTTTGGTTGAACTTTTTCGCATGTAACGAAAACAGAAACTTATGCTGTTTTACTTTATTCTTATAAATGTAAAATTTCATCATGATAATCGACTACGATTAGTATCCGGCAACACTAAATCTTAAAAATACAAGATTTTATCATTTTATTCGGTATTAAGATTATCAAAAACATACTGATACGAATTCCCGATAATTGGAAATGGCCAGTATTGTCGATGCCGATTTTGCTGATGGATTTCATCAGATTTGTAAATATATATAAGTTTTAAATCTTGACCGCGTCGATTAAAAATTCTAATTTCGAAATGAAGTATATGTTCTATTTTAAATAATAAATTCGTTATCTTCGTTGTTAAATACAGGTATAAGATGTTTGGAATGTTTCGGCGTGGCAGATGATGCAGCATGTAAGGCTCAGGGACAGATAAGAGAATGCAGGTGGAATCAGGTAAAATTTTTACATAAAACTCAAAATCTTTTTAAGCTAATCCATGATCATTCATTAGAGATTATGCAGGTCGACTCTTCTTGCTAAACAGCCACAGAGCAGTCTAGTCCGATACTAAATAATTCGACTTTACCCGCTGATATCGGTTTCACAAAATTTTTGATCTGCATATTACTCCAGCTGACGATATTGAGTCCTATTTTGATTCAATTCTTACCCATGCAACTCCAATAATAATAACCAGACGACTCTGCCTCTGATCCAATACCTTGTTACATACCGCCTCCTACCACGTGGCCCACCACTTTATGTCGCTGTGAACGTCGGCAGGAGAATGACGTCAGCTCAAGGTGTTTGCCACTTAACGGTTCAAAACCGGATATTCAAGTGATTTGGTTAGCCTGTGAAAACGCCCTAAAAGATGCGTTTAGTCTTAACTTCGAAGTTGTCATACTCACATGAATATGATAGGTTATATCCATTATTTACCGTATAAATTTATAGGAAATGGTAAATAATTAAACAAATCAGCATGGAGTGAAACTGCTGATAAATGTCAGCTTTAATGCTAACCACCGCCTCGCCAGTATGACGTTAATTGTATCCTGATTTATACTTTTTAAAGTGCAGAGAGGAAGCGAGGTCAACCTTATTCGCTGTATATGGTATAAAAAGACACTTTATACAGAAAATTTAGATATGTCAACTGCGATAAACATCTCCGCAACTCAACTGAATGAAATATACCGGTAAAGATAATCTCCCAACTGTTTTTATAAAATGTGGTAACTGATCGGCCCTTCGAGTAGTATTGCCAGGCAGGTTTCAACTGATTTTATGCATCTTAGCCTTTCGCTCTTCTGAATGTTGTTGAAGTGAAAACCATATATATATATATATATATATAACTAAATTCTCTATGCCAGTGGTCGGCAACCTTTTTCAAGTGACGGACCGGTAAAGCATGACCAAACTTTTGGCGGACCACCTTTATAGAAACGAACTAAGCCTACGCAATACATTATACGCATTAGGGAATTTAGGTTGACAATGTACTAAAAACGACGGCGATGCTATTTAATGAGATATCTTTATTTGTTTGATGGCCATCAATTGTATTCAAGATATGGTCGAGACGGTGACCGTACATTTGAACCCATGCGTATATCCACGGGTTCAATCTATATGCGGGTGCTAAAACCCATGGGTTAGGGTTAGTATGGATTTAACTATCCGTGAAACAAAAAAAATTCCATAGGTGCAATAGCATACTGGTGCAATTGTCATGGGTTCAAATGTACGTGGGTTCAAATGTAATGGAACCGATGAGACACATACTGATACGGAAAAAACAATTGACCCAGCATTATTGCGACATACTGACATGGCAATTGTTTATGAAGTCAGACATGCTGCTCAGTAGTGTTGTGCAGTGGTCGGCAAACTTCATATACTTGCAGGCCAAGTATAAACATTTCCGGTAGCGCGCGGGGCGCAATATTTCCGCCTTCGAAAAAACGCTACATTAATTAAACTTGCGATGCTGACTGGGCATAACGAGCAACCCGGTTTTGGAATGCGCAAGAAGGAAAATTATTTTTCCGTCCAAGCACTTTGGAATGCTCGACGCTCAGTTTCCCAGACATTTTTAAATTTTAAAAATTAAAATTAACTCGAACGACATACAACTGACGCTACCTGTTACAACAAGCGCATTCGCAGTCAGCAGTACTTTTCACCACATAAATCCATTTAGAGACAATATTAAATTTGGTATTAATTTTTGTTTTTATGTATTAAATGTCGGGTCGTTCGAGGGCCGCAACAAATCAGCTCGCGGGGCCGCATTTGGCCTGCAGTTTGTTGACCCCTGGTGTTGTGTTTGTCTGATTTACTGTTGGATGCTGTTTATTAGTCGTCGGGTTTGTGGTTAGATTGTAGAGGTTTTATTACGGCCTCGTTTGTTTTTGTGTCACCTCTCTGCGGACCGGCAGTAACTTTTCCGCGGACCGGCAATGGGCCGCGGCCTGGTGGTTGCCGACCACTGCTCTATGCAATATCTTAATTGTCTTATGCTACATTTTAGGATGCATGTGAAATTGAACTTCGTTGGCATGAAGGATGGGGAGGACACATTTTAATGTACAAACAATGTAAACAATCGAAAGCTTGTGACAACAATCATATCCAGGTTTGAAAAATATATTATGAATAGTGAAGATAGTATGGATATTTCATAGTCATCGCTTCTTTGTCTATTTGGTAACAATGACAACTACCAATAAAGTCGTGACGTAACAATTGTATATACCTATTTTGCAGCAATGTCCTAGCGGTAATGGTTAATTTACAGCAGTGAGAGATGGAAGTCTTCCGCAGATGGTTGACATTAAAATTCTGAAAATTTTAATGGAAGTTGTAAAAATATTTTGAATCGAATGTAATGATTTTCATGAGGCCAACTTGCCTGTACCAAAATTCTCAAAGTAAAAAATACAAATATATTTCTATATATATTTCTTTACTAACCTTTTATTTGCTTTATCGAACTAATATACATTTTTTCAATTACTCTAAACACAAATAATCTAAAATACTATTCTTATTTATAAAAAAATAAGAATCCGAGAGATGCTTGGGCTCCTACGCAATGTAACCCAGACGACTTCAACTCAGTCTGCAGATGTTGTTGCTACACAGATGAATGCAATGTAGCTAGAGAAGACTGTTTTGGTGAGTTGCAAATTATAGGTTACTATCCTACGATTGTTTTAACTATTTTATAGTAAAAAAACAGTCCACGGTATTACGGTGATCAAATTCATCCTCTTTCATCGTTAACATTGGCAAATCTTTAACTACAACTACAGTCAGTCAACTAACATCTACCCATGTATGCTCTCCCTTCTTCCGTATATCACCAATTGCCGTGGTAAGCTTCTGGCTAAGTTTTTGTACTAACTTATATATTTTATTACAGGAAAGCCCGGGTGTCCATTGCTGCCAACCACTATTCATCGTGGAAAAGTTGATTGCACAAAAGGCCGTGAGCCCGGAAGTGTTTGCACGTAAGTTTTGGGGAACACGACATATTTTCAATAAAAAAAATTACGAACAAAGTTCCAACTGGTACATCGGTAATACAGTATTACAAATAATTCACATCTATTTAAGATGAGTAAAAGATATAATTTCGTCAGACGTAAATTGGTTTTTAAAATATTTTGTTCAGAACAACATGCCAACCCGGTAGCGTACTATTAGGATCTGCAGTGACATACTGCAGGTATGACGGATACTGGAGCAGACCCTTGCCTAGATGTATTGGTAAGTGAACAGTTAATTAATTGATACAGCTAATATTTCCGAGAATAGCGAATTAGAAATGAAATAAAATACATCTTTGTGTGTACGTGAGCGAGGGTATGATCTGACATTTTCAAAAGCCCTTATATCATACGATTCCCTTTTGTAACGTTATGTTCATTTCTACAGTTGAACAATGCGAGGAACGTGATCTCGCTAACGGTTGGTATATCTGTACTAACTCTTATTATGTCGGAAGCCAATGCACGTAAGTTCTTTTCATCTTTGTTGGACAATATGCACAATATACGTTATGTTAGTGCGGGCAATCAAATAACCGTGGTTATAATTATGCCAGCAGTTATTCACTGTTAAGAACAGTTTTGTATAGTACACACTCCACAGCAATACTATAGAATAGAATTTACTCAAAATTCGTTCGTTGAGCCGATTTGTACGGCGTGCGCGCAGCTTTGGTCTTGTCCGCGTAACATTGGATAAAACGTGACGTGACAATTAACCACAGTTCAGACACTTTTTCTATGACGGATTTTCAGGCATAATTGTAAAGATTACCTCGTTTTTGTGGTTTTGTCAGTTTTTAGTTGAGGTTATCATATATATATATATATATGTATATAATAACGCAGAAATCATTTTGTTTTCCCAAGAAAGTTTAGCTTTGTTGCAGTAATCAAAAATTAGTCCCGAAAAACATTGATAGATTACACTGAAATTAGTTCTATTAATGAATCTACGCTCAAAAAAATTGCGCAATGGAAAGCGCACTTCGCACTAATCTCTAAGACAATAAGATCTCATTATTGGGTGGGTAATACCGTAATGCAGTGGTTCCCAAATTTTTTTTTCTGCGACTCCAATTTTCATAAAATTAAAGCATACAGATACTCGCGACCCTACAACTAGAAACGTTCAGCAACTTAAAAAATTAATATATAAATTAACAATGTACCAGTATAACGACTGAAAGTGGACGTTGACGGGGAACATTGGCACAAAAAAAAGAACGAGTCCGGCAAAGCGTCGGAAAAACAGGAAAACCTCAGAAGATTTGATAACAATTGGCATCGTATAAAAACCACGGTGTAAAAATTTCTTAGATCAGAATTATAACGGTTCTTTGACGAAACATAGACGGACTTGATAAAATGTGGTAGATTGTAAGGAAGCGTACCATACTTCGGAAATAATAAGATTGCTCCTAAACACACATAAGTTTAAAATCTTATTTAGAATATAGTCCTACAATGTCTTTATTATTTTTAGCTCAATATTAACATATATATTACAGATTGCTCCATTACTCCATTCGTTAAACAGAGCATGGAAGTAAAATAGGAAAAACGTGTACGGAATCACATCTTTTAAGTGACTTTTATTATGCTAACACTTGTTGTGGTTTAGTGTTTGACTGCTCTGAACACTTCGAAATTATGTATGAATTGTAATACGAAAAAGTTCACTTTTATGTGGAGACGATGTGAACAAAGCACGTACCCTACTCGTAGATTTTAGACACGTTCGCGAAGTAACAAATCGCTTTCGCAACTGATCGACACTTAAAGTGTAATTATTCGGCCAAGACACCGCCTTGCAATCAATACCATACTTCTCAAACACCTGAATAAGGGCAATCGCCAAATGAGGCAACTTTACTTTGTATATTCGATAACCAAGCGGCTACACTGGTACAAAATAACAAACCAAAATAATTTGTTTCTCTGTCTGGCAAAAATTCCGATTCGCGTACCGGCGGGTCAACTATGCAACGTATGCAACATGGTCGAAAAATCTATATAAAGAAAATGTTATTGGCGCTCGTACCACAGTCACTCAATTACGTTTACTAATAACTAGTACCTGTCGACCAGCTGGAAAGGTACCGCATGAAAGATTTACCGAGCATTTTTGCCGCCATTTGGACAAAAAATGGTCGAGTTATTGCTGAAAAATCCGAAGTAAGGCACTTTTACGGTACTTGCCGGCTTTTACAAATCTCACTTGCCAAGTTTCAAATCCTAGTCAATTGTGTGCACATGTTTGAAAGAAAGTAGGCGACCCCGGAGAATCTTCACGCGATCCCATCCGGGGTCGCGACCCACAGTTTGGGAACCACTGCCGTAGTGTGTGTACCAGGTTAGGGTTAGGTCATAATTTTATTCCGATTTTCCTTATTTTGGTTCTATTACTACTTATATTGGTTCTATAGTTCGGGGACTGTCTGTGTTAGCCAAGTGAATATACCCCCTGCCGTCCCTTTTTACAACTTGATGTGAGTAGTCGAACAAAATTAGTTACCTCCATATTGGTACACATACTTCTGGAGCACCATTGGATGTATTGATAATAATGTCATGTCTACTTTGTTCACTCATCATTCTATTGTTTATCTTCATGTAGAGCAAACTGTAGGCCCGGATTTGAATTGGTAGGAGCAAAAGTTCATACTTGTCTCGGAAGCACGACCAAATGGTCAGCAAGATGGAACTACTGGCCGCCCCGTTGCACGCGTAAGTTCTATACGGACATAACGTACCGAAATATAAAGCACACTAATCATCACATACAATTACCTATGCTATGCTGATATTGTCGTATATATCGCTATAAAGTGTCATGTAGTTAAATTTTCAGTTCTATATTCTATTAATACATACAATTCTATTATACTATACAATACATATTATTTTAAACACTCCTGTTATTTTTTAACTATCCATCTTTTCCGGGTTTCAGCAATCCAATGCCCTGACAGAGGAACAGTAGAATTTGGAACTGTTGACTGTACAGACGGAAATAACGTTCAAAGTAGATGCAAGTAAGAAAATATGCTTTTATACTCCTTTGTACACGTTGGAGAGAGGAAAACATAGTCATCTATAGCTTTTCTATTATAGGTGTTTAAGCGGGACATATTTCGGGATTAAAATTCAGAAGTCCTGAATACAGTTGATACACAATTTAAAAGTGTCAACAATGCCTCGATAATTCTATCTATAAAATTTTAAATGCTACGAAGTTATCTGTTAGCTTCTGTGAACGCTTCTTCTCGAATGTTTTTCCAATTTTGAACCGCGGTTTTACACACGCAGTCACTACTTTTTAATAACACCGCTTATTTTAGAGTTGTCTGTGACGAAAATCATCGTTTGGAAGGTATCGCCGACAGTTATTGTGAAGACAAAGGAACATGGAGTCACCCTCTGCCCGTTTGCACCAGTGAGTAGCAAATTGAGCCTATCGGATTTTGTTTTTGCTGCACTTCTAACTAGATGAATACATCAAACATGCATTAACTTGTTGCTTAACACAACAATCTAGTTAAAATTCTGTTATCTCGTGAAATAGGCTGAACAGTACAAATTGGTACTTACACAAGATTAAATTTTATTAGAGATAGAAACGGTACTAATGTACATTATCAATACGAACTTTTTTTATACAGAAATTCAATGCCCAATTCGAGGACAAATTATCAACGGTCGTGTCGATTGTACAGATGGAGTTGAAGTTGGCAGCGTGTGCACGTTCGTTACAGTTTTCTTCTTCTAAATATAAAGGATTTATTCATTTTTATCAAGTCAATTTGGTCTTTTTTTATATCCTCCCCGATTCGAGATTCAATACAAGATTAAGAATCGACAAAAATTTATAATTTTCTTCCTGGTCATGTTAATTAGAAATGACGACAAAAACGCCATACCATTACCCATTTACCCTTATACTTACAGGGATTAGATTTTTTTATATCAATATATTTACCTACAATCACGACATTTGTGAGTATATTTAATGTTCATTAGTAACTAGTCTAACTCGTATACACCATTACTTTTACCAGACACTTTTGAGATTTAAACAAACTAAATCCTTTTCTGCAGCGCTGATTGTGACGAATCTTACCGACCCGATGGAGTTAAGTAAGCGAATGTCTCCCAAGTGGACAATGGAGTACGAATTTACCACGATGTTGAAAGTATGTTCCTTAGTTATATTTCTTATCAGTTGACTAAATACAATTACGTTAATTGTAATTGACCCGAATCGAAATTAAATATTTCGGTCTCAATACTTTAAACTAGCAGATGCGACATCGACTTGATAGGATTCCTAACTCTACGGATCTCCGAGCCAGATTCAGTGATTTCAATGAATTTCCTACTTACCTTTAACCGAATTCAAATGTTTTCCAGTGATCACTGTCCTGCCCGCGGAGAAGTAATGTTTCGGAACCGTGGACTGCTCCGATGGCGTGTTTTGCTGGAAGCACTTGCAAGTATGATAGTTTTGCATCTACCAATTTATTTGGAGAACGATTTCGGAGTTTTGCACTCTAATTTATGCATAGTTTGCATTAATTTTCATCACTGCTTTCTATTTTGCAAGTATTTACTCAATGTACATCCCGCCGCGCCTAATCGGCGAGGGCAAGCACAAACAACAGTCGCGCACAACTTTTTTCTACTTTCTCTCTCTCCTCTATGTTCTCTTTATGTCGCTTTTCTCCCACCTTTTTCTCGAACCGTTTTCTCTCTAATCTTGTGATTACATACAACAGCCCCGCATATCTTTCTTTTATATTAATATGCCAAAATAATGTATTTGTGTATATTATTACAATTTACTCCACTTTAGTGTCGAATGTATGTCGGGAACACGTCTTGTAGGTATTGAAATCAGTTCCTGCATGGAAGTTGGACTTTGGGATTATGAGCTCCCTCGTTGTGAAAGTGAGTGCTTGATACATTCCCTAATAGCAAAATTTTCCGCACTGATTTCTTTTGATTCTGATTCCCTCTCTAGTAGACGTACAAATCCAAATAACTTAGTAAGTCGAATTTATGAAGGTTCAAAATAGCTTTATTATAAATAGCACTGTCCACAATAGATTATGCGATTTTGGTTTAAACAACATATTCATATATATTTCGTCGTGTAATGTTTTAACTAAAACTCAAATCAATCAAATAAATTTCCTATACAGGAGTTGAATGTCCACCGCGTGGAACTATCGATGGAGGAGTTGTGTCTTGCAGCAACAAAGGATTTGTCGGCAGCATTTGCTTGTATGTTTGTCAGTATTTACTAAACTAAAATAATCAAAGTAATATGTAAATAGATATATAATAAAATTGCACTCCGACGTTTTTATGAATTTGTCATGATTCATTTCCAGTTACATGACGATTTCCTAATAATTTGGTTTTATTTAGATCGCGTTGTAATATGGGTTCGGCAATGAGTGAACCGTTAATAGCGTTTGGTCTACCGTCGGGAGAATGGAGCGTTCCTTTGCCATCTTGTTCAAGTAAGAATAAAAATTTTCAATTAATCATCAAATGCTTTTTCAAACGTTTAGGAGATGTTCCTAAATCAACATCTATCATCCACGGTAATAATTATTTTTCATGGAGCTAAGTTTGTCGAATAATAACTTACGATCTAGTCATCAGGAAGAGGTAAAAATAGTTCTTTACACCTTTTTTCTAATTCAAGCCGAAAACTATGATACGTATTCTCGTTAAAAAAAAATATAATGCATTTTAATGTATTACACCCATAGCATTATGCGAGATATCATAAAATGTTATGGTATAATAAAAATTACAAACATTTATAGGAATCGTCTGTCCCGCTCTTGACTTCTCTCTGCAACCTGGCACAATGACATGCACCAACGAATTCTTTTATCGAAGTACATGTTCGTAAGTGGACCTCATATATTTATGTTGCATAGCTGTCACTAGAAAATAAATAAATTGAAATAAACTCAGAACTGTTAATTGATAGTATTGAAATCAATGTAGGCACCAATATCAAGTTCAGGTACCTATTTACAGTAACGTTTCTTTGTCGGGTACACATCTGCCTTGTATCGTCAATGAATGAATGAATATGAATGTTAAATATTCTAATCTTCCAATTCCTTCGGTTGGATTCTATTTTTGGATCAACAACCTCAACCTTATTGCAAAACTGATTTCAAAGATCGTTATTGTGAGTGATAAATTGTGATTTTTTGCATAATATCCATCCATTTTTTTGTTTTATTAGATTCCGATGTGATGAAGGGTACTTTGTATTTGGCGCACTCCAAGTAGGCTGCCGATTAAATGGAATGTGGACTACAAGAGTTCCAGAATGTAGAGGTATAAAATAGCAGGAATAATATCCCAACCATTCATTGAAACATCAGTTTATTTAATGTTCAAATAATTTGACCTAAATATGACTCCAAAAATTGTGTTCAAGTTAAACAACTTCATAGAAGACGCCATATTATTTTTAGTCGATATTACTTTCAGAAAACTAAAATTATCAGTACCTATGTCATGCGGTGAAATTACGAAATCGTCAGTTCCAGAATAAATCTCAAGTACATCTGAGTACTAAATAGTCTGAAACTTTACTTAAGGAACTCATTTATTTCAGAAATTCGTTGTGGTAACAGAGGACGAGTTGCCAATGGTGTTGTCACTTGTAGTGATGGAAACGAAGTAGGAAGCAGTTGCGAGTAAGTTCTTCCAACCTTTTGGTAATCGTTTTTTGACATTGACATCGCAATGTTGAAGCTTGTTCCAAAGTTCGCTTTTTTACTAAACATTGGCGGCCAAAGAAATTTGGTCAAGTGGAAAGACACATGTCTACAGAAATGGTGATATGATGGGGATATTCTCGTTTTTATGCCCTTGGTGCAAAGTTGAAATTACAAATCTGCATTTAAATAATATATTTTTTACAGTGTCACGTGTAACCCTGGCTACAGCCTGAGAGGCAGAGTAACAACGAATTGCCAGGGAAATGGCCGATGGGATTTCAGACAAGCAGTGTGCGAAAGTAAGCTTCTAAAAACACATCGATATTATAGTATACGTTCCAATTCCTATCATGTTTCCTGATTATGTTTCATCTCCTCTTTCACTACGTTTCTTTCGTTTCAATTTTTTTCTGTTGCTGTACAAAAAAAATGAAAAAAAAAAATATTCCATCACAGCTCAAAACTGTCCACCTCGTGGAAGGCTTTTTGGCGGTACCGTGACTTGTTTTGATGGAAATGCATTCGGAAGCGTTTGCACGTACGTATATCTATCTGATCTACATCTTTTAGCACAAGAAAGATTAAGTAATTTAGTTTTGTAGAAATTTATTGTGTCAGAATGGGTTTAATTTGTAGTAAATAAACAATAATAATAATTTGAAGAAGTCGGATTGAATGTGGAAAATTTGAGAAATTTTATTCACAAATTATTAGCAACTACGCAAAGTGCATCAAATTAAAACAACTTAAAACATGGGTTGACAATGAAATATTTGCATTGGGGTATTCTTAATTTAACGTTTTTTTTATTCATTTTTATTTTACACGTCTCATTTTAATATATATATTTATTTTTAAACTTCATACAAACACATTTAGTGCTCGATGTAATGCCGGTGCTGAACTTGTGGGAGCCTCCGTAAGTACTTGTGAAGCTGGTGGCGTCTGGAGTATCGGTCTTCCAACTTGCGTTAGTGAGTATCAAAATAACTAGTGCCGATGAAGGATATCTTTTTTCTATTATTTTAATATTTTCATTTGAGAAATTTAGTATTATGAAACTGAAATTTTTTTTTATACAGGCCGACCCTGCTCTAATCAAGGGGATCTTGAATTTGGTGAAATTTCTTGTTCAAATGGCTGGAACGTTCAATCTCAATGTACGTTCACTTGCACCGAGCCGAATTATCAACTGTTCCCGGAAGGACGACAAAAAAATCTTTGCCTTCCGACCCAATCCTGGAACGTACCCAAACCTTGCTGTGCGAGTAAGTGACAAATTTCCACCTTTATAACATTAAAAATTGTTACCAATCCTTTCTGTCTTTTTGTCCTTAATGAATGCTAAACACTTTTACCACAGGACCTTGTCCACCATGGGCTGTCATGGACATCGTTTTAGTCCTCGACTCTTCTTCTTCTATCGAACCTGAAAACTGGGTAGAACTTACTCGTTTTGTTCGAGGAATAATTAGGTGAGTTTGGTTGCAGTTAACTCTAACATATATCAGATATAACTAACTACCGACTTGGACTTGATTTAAGTCTGTTTTCAATATAAAATTACTTTAAACTTGTATGTCATTATTAATTTCAGATCCTTCCGTGTGGAGCCAGACGCTGCAAATTTCGCAATCTTCAGATTCAATAAAGTGGTTGATGAGGTGAATCAAATCTTGTTGAACAGTTACCCGGGAGATGTCGAGGGCTTGATCGAAGCTTTCAACCGAATACCGTACGATGGAAGTGGTGAGAGCAACGTTAATTTTCATTGTATTTTTACACCTGAATTCAGTATAAAGCGAACTGTGGGCATTAAAATATTTAGACTGACTAACAGGAATTGTAAAACAACTCAGAAATATGTTTAACGTGTACTATTAAAAAGTTCTTCAGGAGTTGTGAAAGCCGATTTTTTTATTTCAAATATGCAACAATGGTTCACGCTTCTCAACGGGATATTTTTAAGTTCATATTCAAAATGTTTTTGTTTTATTCAGGTCTTGTATTTGAACATATGGCCAGATATATAAACAAATCATATACTATCAGAGTAGATTAATAATTAAATCACGCAAGAGAATTTTAAAAATGAATTTTTTAAATTAAGGTACCTGGACCGGAAACGCTCTCAACCATGCACTGACAGTCAGTTTGAGTCCAGAGAATGGAAACAGGCCGGACGTACCTGATTTTGTTTTCGTAATTACTGATGGAAAAGCCGGAGATGATGTTGAAGCACCAGCAGAAGCCCTGCGAAGATCGGGAGCTAAGGTGAATACATAGCTTTTACAATGGTTCTGTTTTCATTTGCGTAAAACGATTTGAGGTTGTCAAATTTATGACTCTGACTCGAACAATATTCAAGCTTCTCGTGAAGTTCGTGCAAAAAGTCAGTGTTTTGCAAAACAACTCCAATCTCATAATTTTCACGAAATGTCATTAATTGTGTGAACCAGTTTCGCTTTATTTTTAAGCAAAATAATTTTTGCAACCAACAATTGCGCAAAATTCTGTTGTTTAAAATCGCATTACCGCTTAATCACATTTTCGCGAAAGTATAATATATGTAAAGTTTGCTTTCGCTGCTAGTACAATTACTTCCTTCCCTTTCCGCACCTGTTACAAACGTCAAAATTCTAACACATTTGTGGCACCTGTATATTTTGCTCCCTACCTGTAAGTTCAGACATAATTTGTAGCATGTAAAATACAATTTATTTATATTCGACATTGTACTCATTCAACATCAACCATTTATTTCAGATTCTTGTTTTGGGTATTGAACCACCTTCCGGCAGAGGTCTTACACAAGAAATTCTGGACCAATTATTGGTGATTGCCGGACAACCACAGAACCTTATCATTGCTGATGATGGTTTTGCTGGACTGACAGATGACTTTAGTCTTCTTCTGAGCCGAAACATTTGCGGAGATCCTTGCGAATAGTCTGTACGTGCTCTGGTCACAACAAACCTGAAAAATAGTCTTATTTAGGCCTAATTCGTCTTTTTTAATACAGTGTTTCTTATCCACGATAAAAATAGCTTTAGGTTATGGGTGACGATGGTAATGAATATGTAAAGCTACACAATAAACGACCAGAAAGTATTGAATTGTTGTGAACTCTTGAAACGCCGCTGTAAAACAAACATTCCTTCTCAGGAGGAGAAGGGTTTGTGTACTAATGAAAGGGAGTAGTTAATTTATGGGAATTTCTATTGTTCAATCGACCAGTGGTTGTTGACTATAGAGCAGACAAGTACGGCTCGCGGGCCGAATCCGGCCAGCTAGGTAATTCATACTGGGCCGCTTGTTGCTGCCACAACCTAACTGAAACCAAATTTTGATGTTTGAGTTGAAAATAGGAAAAAAGGAATTTGTTGAGATTGCGGTTAAATTTAGTTTCGGCACGAAGTTTATTGTTTCCCACTGTTGCTTTTGTAACACTGTAAACATTGTTCATAAAATATGACTTTTACGTCATACTTACATGGCCCGCCAGTCTATGTGGGCAAAAATTTAAATGAAAAAAAACGTGCCCACCCCTGCTATAGAGGATAGGGAACAAAAAATGACGAATCTAGTCTACAGGCTTTTCATATAGACTTATCCAACTATTAAAATATAAAATCAGTTTTAACGCCGCAGATTTTTTTCTAGGACTGCAATGTCGAAAAAAATTTACAATAGACTCCCGGATGGAAAAATATTCGACAAAAAATTAACTCCTAGTCAAAAATTATTATGACTGCGAATCCTTCGAAGAAAAATAAAAACTTGGCGTATGCAAGCTCTTGATAGACTGTTAGGAACGCTTAGTCAATTACTGTGCCAATGTTCTCCGTCAGTTGGTACACTCACGTCCCACTTGAGCGTGTGGCCATAGTATATCACCAGCAGAAATACCACGTGGT